GAGTGGGCCCTTGTAGCTGGAGTTTTCTCCAGTCTTGCCTGGGCCCACAGCCGCTCAGACCCAAATAAACACACAGATACTTATGTTAATTAAAGCTGGTTGGCCTAATGGCTCAGGCTTCTTGCTAGCTAGATCCTACACTTAAATGAACCCATGATTCTTATTTATGTTTAACCATGTGGCTTGGTATCTTTTCCCAGTTCTGCCTTCACATCTTGCTTCTTCTGTGTCTGGCTAGTGACGCCTAACTCAGCCTTCCTGTTCCCAGAATTCTCCTCTCTGCTTATCCCACCTATACTATACTTCTTGCCTGGATACTGGCCAATCAGCATTTTATTTATTAACCAATCAGAGCAATCACAGCATACAGAGCAATATCCACAGCAGGCCCTCAAAATATTGACCCTGGTAGTTCTGGGCACTGCTCTTTCTAGGCTTGGTAATTATTTAGGAACGAAGAGTTTTCATAAATGTTGATGTTGGACTCTTCTTTATGCAGATGGATTCAGAGATGTCTGTATCTTAGGCATGCAGATGCTCCTTCAGAATGTATGGTCACGGTACATAGGTGTCAAATGGCTCATGTGACAGATGTCTGTGCAGAACATAACTTTCATGGTGTGTTGTCTGTATGGATGTTAATCAGAGAATTGTGGTATTTCTTTGACAGGAAGTTAGTTGAGCTAAATTTCCTTCCATGTCAATCACCCTGAAACTCATCTGAGCAATCAAAGGTACTCCTGAATCCTCCAGGGAACAACTGGCAGACAGGGACGCACTCCCCAGAGGGTAGAACTTTAAAGCTCACAGAGCCCATGTTCCCATCACCAGCTTCCCTCTTTATGTTGGGTGGGCGTTGCTGTGCACCCACAGGTCATCTGTGCCGTTGGTTGTGAGCCAACCTGTCTCCATGAAACCTGAGGTCTCAGGAGCTAGACAGGACCTCCGAGGGTCCATGATACTCTAAAAGGTTTTGTTTTCTGTTTGAAGAGCTTCATTTTCACAGGGCAGGAGGCTGTTTCAAAGAAATGCTCTCATCTCTGTCGTCTCAGGATACTTCTAGCTCAGCTCAGCTTGTGTTTCCCAATTGTGTAGCCTAGTTCTCTTTTGTTCCTGTGTTCCAAAAGTGAAGAGAGTTGCATCTCAATGTGACTTCCATGTGACCTCATAGGCCTTCTTCCTTTTGGCCCCTATCTCATACTGTTTCGAGTCTAGTCCCATATGATGCTTGTCTTCCAGGCTAGGAACTAGGGACAGAGGCTGAAGCAGGATTAGCCCTTGCAGGCTGTTCTGACTTCCACATTTCTCAGTGTAGCCTTGACTGTCCTGGAACTAACTCTGTAGACCAGGCTGGTCTCGAACTCACAGAGATCTGCCAGCCTCTGCTTCCTGAGTGCTAGGATTAAAGGCATGTGCTACCACAGCCTGGCTACCAGAGATTTTTTAAAATATTATTTTAAAGCAGTTTTTTATTTTTAAGATTATAGTATAATGACATAATTTCCTCTCTCTACACCTTCCCATGCACTCCTACTCCCTGCCTTGCTCTCTTTCAAATTCATGACTTCTTTTTCCTTGTTGTTATCTATGTAAATGTGTGTATGTGTGTCTACACACACACACACATATAATTGTCTGTATAATGATACTTATATATAAATCATGTGGTTTCTGTCTTTTAGTCTATTTATATGGTTGGACTACATTTATCAATTTATATCTGTTGAACCATCCCTGAACCTCTGGGATGAAGCTAACTTGATCATAATGACTTTTTTTGATGAGTTCTTGAATTCTGCTTGTATTTTATTGGGAAATTTTGTGTTGATGTTCATTGATTTATAATTTTCCTTTCTCTCTCTCTCTTTCTCTCATTGTTTTTTTTTTTTTTTGGTCTGGTTTTGGTATCAGGGCAATACTAGCTTTGTAAAAGAAATTGGAGGATTTTCTCCCTTTTCTAATTTGTGGAATAGTTTGAGGGTCACTGATGGTAGTTCTTCACTGAACCAACCTGGTCTTGGGATTTAAAAAAAATTTTTTTTAAAGATTTATTTTATTTATATGGTGTTCCATCTGCCTATACACCTGCATGTCAGGAGAGGGCATCAGATCCCATTATAGATGGTTATGAGCCACCATGTGGTTGCTGGGAATTGAGCACAGGTCCTCTGGAAGAGCTGCCAATGCTCTTAACTGCTGAGCCATCTCTCCAGCCAGGGATTTTTTTTAGTTGATTTTAAATTATGTGTCACACACATTTACACAGGGGGTGGGGGAGAGAGATATTAATGTAATAAAACATTTAAAGAAAGAAATAAAAAAGAGGTCCAGCCAGATGGTTTTACAGGTAAAACTGCTTGATGATGACCTGAGTTCAATCTCCAGATCCTATGACAGAAGGTAACAGCTGACATCTGAAGTGGCCCTCTGGCCTCCACTCATACCCACACACATCACACACTTCTATTTTGCTGGGTGTTACGACTCTATTTAAATTACTTACCATCAAAAAAAAATTACTTACCATCTTACTTAACTTTGGTAGGTTGTATGTATCTAGAAATCCATCTAAATCTTTTAGATTTTCCTCTTTGGTGGAATACATATTTTTAAAGTGTGTTCTTATGATTCTTAGAGTCTTCCAAGTGTCTCTTGTAATGTCTCCCCTTTCATCTCTAAGTTTGTTAACTTGGATGTTTCCCCTCTCTTTCTTTTGGTTAGTTTGGGTTAGGACTTGACCATATTAATTCTTTCAAAGAACCAAGTCTTCGGTTTGTTGACATTTTGTGTTATTTAAATTTCTACTTCATTAATTTCATCCCTGATTTTAATTATCTCTTCCCTCATCATTTTTTTTGGCTGTTGCTTATTCTTACTTTTCTAGGACCTTCAGATTCATCATTGGATTATTTATTTGAGCTCTTTCAGACTCTGACTTAGGTCCATAGTGCTATAAACACTCCTGAGACTGCTTGTCATTTGTTGTGTTCCACAGATGCCGATATGTCATATTTTCATTTTTCTTTAATTCTCAGAATTAAAAAATTATTGCTTTCTCCTCATAAATCTTACTTTAGTAGTATGTTGTTTAGTGTCCATGGATTTGTGTATTTTCTTTAATGCATGGAGGTCAGATAGAATGCAAGATGTGATTTCAGTTACCTATATTGATTGAGACTTGCTTTGTGTCCTAATATTTGGTGTATTTTGGAGAAAGTCCCATGGACTTTTGAGAAGAACATGTATTCTTTTATGTTTGGTGGAATATTCTGTTAGGTCTATTTGATTTATGATGTCATTTAACTTCCATTATTTTTTAAGGATTGTGGATTTGGGCATTATCCACAAGAAATATAGCATCAGTAATTGTTGTATGATATTTTGTCTGTGTCCTGACAAATAAAACTTGCCTGGAGATTAGAGGGAGGAGCTAGCCACTAGTTACCCATAAAGGCCAGACAGTGGTGGCACACACATTTAATCCCAGCACCTGGGAAGAAACAGGAAGATCAGGAGTTCAAGGCCACCCTGGGCTACACAGAATTGAACTGGTCTAAAAGAGAAACAGAGCCAGGCAGTGGTGGCAACACCTTTGATCCCAGCACATGGGAGGCTCACAACTTCAACCCTAGCACTAGGGAGGTGGAGACAGGAATAAAAGGCAGGTGGAGACAGGATCTTGTCACCCATTCAGTCTGAGGATTCGTAGAGACAGGGCCCCCATTTGGTCTGAGATTTTGTAGAGGTAAGAAGTCTCTGGTGGCTGCTGTTCTACTTCTCTGATCTTTCAGCTTCCACCCTTGATATCTGACTCTGGGTTTTTATTGAATAAGACTAAATAGATTCTGGTATCAAGTAATTCATCTAAAAATTTATTTAGGCATCCTGTATAGATAGCATCGGTGCACTATCACAAGGAATGCATATTTAGATGTTAGCACAGTGGCAAAGTGGATTAGCATAGGAAGGTATTGAGTCTCCAGTAGAAAAACAGGCCATTCAACCATTTGACCAGTTTTAGATGTCACTTAAAACTGCACAAAATCAGGATATATTCTTTCATTAGAGGTGAATACCATTTATTGGTTATACTATTTAATTTTGGGAAATATGGAGAGAATCATACTACCTAGGATGAACATTCTGGAGCTTTAGCCCGAGTAGAGAACCCCAGTTGGAAGCCATGATGACTGAGGGTCTCAGGGTTCTGGGTCTGGCCCAGGTGATGGCATGGGCAGGATGGATATAGGTCTCCAGGGAGGGGACTGAGTGACCCTAATGAGATGTTTGCAGCTTCTCTGCAGGCACTTCCTGAGTTACTAGGCAGGCCTGTGTGACACAGCCCTCAGGAGCCACCCGATTCACACACTGCAAGTTCTATTGTGGCCCCTGCTCTGGTCAGAAAGGAAGGCAGACTGTGAACAGTGTCACTGCCCTGTCACCCAGGCTGAGGTAAGAGGAGCTCAGCCCCTCCTCAGCCTGCATCAAGGTGAGTAGGGGCTCCTAGGGTAGGTGTCCTCTGTGCCTGTCCTGTCGAGACTGTCCCACCTTTGAACTGAGGGCTGGAACAGTTTGTGACATGAGAAGGTCCTTGGCTCTCTTTGTCTCTGCACACCAACCTGCACAGTGACACAAACATCAAGGTGGAGCAAAGTAAGGAAAAGACAATGAGCCACAGACCTGGCTGGGGTCTTCACAGGGTTGGTTCATCCTGAAAGATCCCTAGATTCTGTTGTCTCTGTAACGATGGAATGATAAGTGCACAGTGATGGAACTGGGTGAGGATGACACCTCAAAGTGACCTTGCCTTCCCCACATGCCCCATCCCTTTCAGAGACTGCACTGAGGCAGAAGGAATGCTGGCCTCCCCCTCCCCATCCCTGCAAGACAGAAACCACTGCACTGAAAAGCACCAGCATGAACTAGGAAGCGGCTCCTATCTGGGATGGAGCCATTAGCAACAGAGGATGCGCTCCTGTAGGAAGAAGATTTCCTTTGCAGGAAAAATCCAACGTTTATTACTAGGAAAGCATGGGGGCAAACAATGGCTGAGGGATGAGACAGCTTTTGGAAGACTTACTAGTGAGCAAAGGTCAAGGTGTCCTGAGACACCTGCACCTTGGCCTGTGCTGATAAAGTCCATTTGGGGTGACCAGCTCTCTGGGCAGCAGCATATGACTGCTCCTTGTCTCCAGTTCTTCTGTACATGACCCAATGATCATTCTCCTTGAGGCTGTTGAGATGGCCATAGCCTATTACTTTTTTCGTACTTTGATGTGGGTCACAGGCTCTACGAACAACGCCCGACTGTTGTTTGTTTCCAATTTCTCTGTATACGAATGGGTGGTTGTGCCCCTTGGGGTTGCTGTGTGGACCGTAGGCCATTCCACTCTTCACTCTACTTTGATCGGTGTCACAGGCTGTTTTGCTAGCTGTGCCTGGCGGCCGCTTGTCTCCAGTTCTCCTGTACAGGAGTGGATGGCTCTTCCCCTTGAGGGTGGGGAGTTGGTTGAAGTCCATTCCTGTCTTCACTCTGTTCTGATGTTGATCACAGGCTTTCTGGGCATCAACACTCAACTGCTGTTTGTCTCCAATTCCGCTGTATCTGAGTGGATGGTTGTGTCCTTTGGAACTGGTGTGGGGACCAAAGCTCATTTTCCCCACTGTTCTGCTTTTCTTTGTGTCATAGAGACCCTCAGAAAAGCAGGAAGAGGCACCCAGCTGGGATGTCAGTGATTCTAGTGTACACCATTGTACCTTTGATGGGTCCTCTATATCAAGGCCCAGCCTGTCGATCAAGACCTGTGTCACAGCATTCATGAGAGATTGCACTCTGGCTGTCATATTGTAGATGAGCTTCTCTTTTGTGATTACCTCCCTAGTCTGTATAGTAGATGGTGGAGTGCTCTCATTCCTCAGAGAATCCCCCTGCTTCTTGTCTTTGGTGCTGAGGTTGAGGTATTGTAGAATATTCCTTACCATTTTCTTGAGAAAGCTTCCTGTAGGAGCCTGCTTGTTTTCTGGCTTATCAGGGCAGGGCTGACTCTCAGTAATGACTGTATCCTGGGGTTGGGTAGAGCAATTGAGGCCCCAGGCTTGGGAGAGCCCCATTCTCCCAAGATTTTCTCCCTGGCTTTTGGCTCTGGATCTCATACAATCCTTCCTCTCTTCACTGGGAGGAAATATTTTGTGATTACTTGCTTGAATCTTATCCTTGGGGACACTGAGCTTCTGAGTCTTTTGGGTTTGATCTGTCCTCTTGAATACATCACCTAGGCCCTGAGAAGTCTTGGGATTTTTGGATCTGTTCTGGAATCTGGGAACTGAGTGCTGTGTAGGCAAACTGACTGTCGTGGGGCACACAGTACTTTGACTGTCTGGAAGGAGCCTAGCAGGCCATGATGGCAGCTGCTTATTTGATTTGAAGCCAACCTCTCTAAGCACCTGTGGTTTTAGAGCCGGGCCACTTGAGCGCTGTGGACATGTTTGGAAATGGCCTGGGTTTCTATTGGCCTCTACAGATTCAAAGTCTCTGAGATTGTTATTGATATTTTGGCCATTGGGAATCTGGCTGGCCCCAAGGATCACTTTCCATGGAGAAGGTGTCTCTCTTATCACCTCCACTATTCTGTTGGTCTGTTTGGCCACTGAAGATGGGGTCCTTACTTCAGGATCCACCATTGTACCACTCCAATAGGGATGTATTGAGGCCACATTCTCAAACCTCTTCCATGGTTCATATCTGACCATTCTTGGGCTGGTCCTTGGTTGCAGGCTGCCTTTTCCAATCCCTTGGACAATCCTGCTCTTCTGGGTTCTTGCCAGGAAACAGTAATCTTTGGCTCGAGTGCTTAGGTTGCTCTGCCATGTATCTGGATGGGCCCTGGCAGGCCCATGGCTGGCAGCTGCTGGAGTGGCTCTTTGCATCTTCTGAACCTCTGAAGGTGAGTGTGCAAACAGAGGACTCTGCAGCCTGGACGCTGACACAGTTTCTACCCTTGTCCCTCCTGGATCTTGGTGATGCAATTTTTCCAGGATTGTGGCAGTCTTGGGACAGTACTCTGACTTAGAAACAGAGGAGGGTGAGGTGGGATACACAGGCTGGGGACGGAATGAGGCTGGAACCCCTGGTTGGGTGAGATCACTTGACAAAAGAGTCTGTAGATAAGATTTCCATCTGCGTTTCACGGGAAGCTGTTTGATGCTTGAGTCCAGCTTCCTTTGGGTTTTGGGGTCAAGGAAGGAAAGGTCCTGGGTGGTGTTCACATAGGACTGCTGCTCTGTCCTCAGTTCAGGGTTTCTGGGCTCCAGACCCTGCCCAGGGGTGCTGCTTGAAGTGCAAGGCAAGGCTTTGGCCCTAAAACTGGGGCCCTCCTTGTTGGGGTCGTGTATTTTACGTTTTGCTGGGTCCTTCTTTAAGGGCATCCCTGAGGGCGTAGTCTCCATCATCTGACTCAACTTGCAGCTTTTGTAGTAGAGGATGGAGGGCTGGGCAGGCTGGGGGAGTTCAGGCTTGTCCTTAGACTGGCGACGACTGTTTGCTGGGAAGCGTCCCTGCAGCTGCGTCAGTTCCCGGGATGGGAGGAACCTGAAGGGGGGGCCTTGTGTTCTCACCTCTGTCATCCTGTATTCACTCTGTGACTCCTCATGGTGCTGGAGGAACTGACAATGCTCAGGAGGGATGGAGGCCGACCTGATAGCTTCAGCGGGTGGGATGTCCCTGGGCAAGTTGTGAGTGGGCCGGCTAATGGCTGCTTGATGATTTTGGACATTAGAGCCTATGGTGTCTTTCCACTCCAGATCCTGCTGCCAGGATGCCAATACCTTCATCCCAGTGTTAAAACATGTTGTTCCACAGGCCCTGCTCTTGGACGAAGAAGACATTAGGTTTGGTATAGAGCTTGGGAGGCTGTTGAATGTCTGGACCTCTGTCACACCCACCATGTTTTGTGTCACAAGTTGGTGGGACAATGGCTGGGACTGAGAAATCTGTGGAGGTCCTTGGCCCAGAGGTAGATCTGGGGAAGGGCCATGTGTATTACAGAATGGTGAGGTTTGGTTTGCTACAGAGGAAGGTCTCCTGGAGACCCAGGCAGTAGCTACCACTGACTCAGAGAGCACAGAGGACATGCCCCAGAAAGTTCGGCTAAATTTCCTCTGTATAAGATCCTCTAAGACCTTGAGGTAAGACAGCAGCTGAGAGATGGGAAGCTGATCCTGTTTCTTATTAGAGTTCCAAAAGGCGTGTGGTGTGGAGTCCAGGAAAGGAGGGTTGATGGGGCTGCAGAAGACAGAGGAAAACCATTAGTCCCAGGCAGAGGGTGAAGAGGCCCATCAGTCTGTCAGCATGTGGCACCTGTGTTCCACAGCCCCTTCACTGCCTCCGTACCCCTATTGTCAGTCTATCAGGGCTGTATTTCAGTCCTACCCTGCATACTATTGTCAGTCTGACAGGGCTGTATTTCAGTCCTACCCTGCATACTATCTTCTGTATGAAAAGCCCCAAACCCTGAGCTCACATCCTGAATTGGTATAAATAATTTCACAAGAGGTTGATTTCTTACATTTTCACAGGTTGTGATGGATTCTGGTTCTCTTCCACACTCTTTCTGTCATCGCTACAACCTGGAAATAGTTATGTAGGATAAGGAAGAGGACCGAGATCTCACAGGAGAGTGAGGCACCTCTCTTGAAGACCACCCATGCGAGGACTCTGATGCCAACTGCCAGGGTCCAAGCACACGGGACACTGAAAATGAGCAGGTGGCATGGAGGGACCAGATCTCTCCATTTACACTCTCCTCGCTCCTCCCTCAACCCCTGTCATCCCCATACAACACCGTGAGGGACACTGGACCAGTCATCTGAAAGAGGGGTGGGCCAGAGAGAACTGCGCTACCTGTTGTCAGGTGGACCTGGGAGTCCCCCATACACAGGCACAGCATCACTCCACGGCCTTGAACCGCACCCCCATGGGCAGCACCCACCCTAGGGGGTGTTCCACATCCTGTATCCTCAGAAACATGGCTCTCATCACTGAGGGGCAGGGCAGATGGAATGGCCTCTCTAGAGGAAAGCAGAAACCTACCTTTTACAGAAGCATTTTTCTTCCTGGTCTTGCTCTGCCTCCTCCTCCTCACCTGACAGTGAGAAAGGACAAAAATCAGCTGGGCCCATTCTTCCTCTAATTGACAAGCTGCCTGCCCCCTGTGCTCATGGATAACGTGAAATCCACATTTCCCAGGAAGCTTTCTCTCATCATCCCTTGACTGTAGCAGGAATCTTAAAAGTTCTTATTAATAAAATCAAACACGAGGCCAGTTATTGGGGTCAATGCTGGTAGATCAGAGAGACAGAACAAGCCACAGCTATCTCACCTTGCCAATTCCTCAGCTGGTCCTGTTTCCTCAGGACCTCATCCAGAATGGGTCTCAGCTGAACTGCTGCTCAAAAGCCTGAAAGCTTAACCAGCCAAATGCTTAACCAGCCACATGCTTAACCAGCTGAATGCTTAACCAGCCACATACTTCTAGTTTCTGGTCCTCACGCTTTATATACCTTTCTGCTTTCTACCATTACTCCCTAGGATTAAAGGCTCGCTTTCTGGGATTAAAGGCGTGAGTCACCATGCCTAGCTGTTTCCAATGTGGCCTTGAACTCACAGAGATCCCAGATGGATTTCTAACTCTACAATGCTAGGATTAAAGGTGTGTGCTATCACTGCCTAACTAGTGGCTTTTCTGTTCTCTGACCCCAGATAAGTTTATTAAGGTACACAATATTTTGGGGAACAC